ATCAACTCAGTACATTGTATCCCATAAATGCATTAATGTACACAGTTATGATTTAATAAAGAAAAAAAAAGCCAAGCAGAGAAAGATAAATACTGCATTATTTCACTCATAGAATCTAAAAAATTTGATCTCATAGAAGTTGAGATTAGAATAGTGGTTACCAGAGACTGGGGAGAATGGAGTGTGGGAGGGTGATGGGTAGAGGGTGGTCAATGGGTACAATGTTATAGGTAGATGGGAAGAATAAGTCTTGGTACTCTATTGCACAACAGAGTGACTATATTTGACAGTAATGCATAGTATATCTCAAATAGCCAGAAGAGAGGATTTTGAATGTTCTCACAAGAAAGGAATAATGCATGTTTAAGGTGATTGATATCTTAATTACTCTAATTTGGTCATTATACACTATAGGTACTCCCTGGGTTAAAAATGTAGGTTTGTGCTCAAGTTGAATTTGTATGTAAATTGGAACAGGTACATTTACCTATTACCAATAACATCCTCCATTCATAGTGCAAGTTGTATATTAATTAGATATTTGTAATTTGGGGATTGCCTGTATGATACATGCATTGAAGCATCACAGTTTATCTCATAACTATGTATAATTATGTGTCCATAAAAAATAAAATTAAAAAATTAAATTGTGAGTGAAGAACCAGCATTGTGTATTCCAGCTCTTCCAGGAGTGAGGTGACATGGTAGCGGCTTTTGAGAAGGCGGCTAAGTCTCAGCAGCGAGAACATCGAGAGCGTAGCCAGCCTGGCTCATGTAAACATCTGGGCCTGCTGGAGAAAAAAAAGATTACAAACTTCAGACAGATGACTACCGTAAAAAACAAGAATACCTCAGAGCTCTCCAGAAGAAGGCACTTGAAAAAAATTCGGATGAATTCTACTATAAAATGACTCGGGTTAAACTCCTGGATGGAGTTCATGTTATTAAGGAAACTAAGGAAGAAGTAACTCCAGAACAGCTAAAGCTGATGAGAAAACCCAGGATGTCAAATATATAGAAATGAAGAGTTGCAGAAGCTCAGAAAATTGAAGCAACAGAATAAGCATGTGTTCTTTTCTGACACACACAAAAAAAAAATCTGAACAGTTTGATATTGCAACTCACCTGCATAGGGCACCAGAACTAGTTGATGAAGTCTTAAATAGACCCAGGATAGACACATTGCAGAAGGAAAAAGTGAAAGGAGTCACTCATCAGACTCAAAGTAAGCGGATAGCTAAAGAAAGGGAAAAGCAATATAACTGCCTGACACAGGGGATTGAGCGAGAGAAGAAATTGTTCATTATTGCACAGAAAATTCAAACACACAAAGATCTTCTGGATAAAACTCAGAAGGTGAAGGTGAAGAAAGAAACAGTGAACTCCCCAGCTATTTACAAATTTCAGAGCCCTCAAAAACGTTGACATATCATAGATAAGCCTTGTCTTTCTGCATCAAAAATAACTGTTTTCTTAGTAACTTAAATCCCTTTAGTCCAAATGGTTTTCCTGTTTGTAACCATAATTTATTGTCAGTATAGCATTTGATATCTTTTTATGAACAACATTATATCCCCTTCCCTTCTGGTACTGTTTCTGGTTTGTGAAATCAGTCTTATTTTTATATACATAATTTTTTATTATGAAAGTTATAGAATATAGTGAATTTGGAAAACAGATTAATTCATTCCTAATCCCAATGCTTATTTAAGAACAATACATTTTTATTGCATATTTTACTGTGCTAGGAGCTAGAGCTATGGAGGTGAACAATTACTGTGAGCATTCTGGTTTATTTCCTCTGTTTTGTAAAGCTATGCATCAGATTTTGTTTATGTTTTTGTGTTTTATAGTTGTAATTATAGTAAACCATTATATGTCCTAATTTTTTTTTTTGGCCAGGGCTGGGTTTGAATCTACCACCTCCAGCATATGGGGCCAGTGCCCCACTCCTTTGAGCCACAGGCACCACCCTATGTCCTACTTTTTAATGAAATCATTAGTTCTTTTCCATTTTGTTAAATCACACAAGTTTTTTAAAAGTAATATATGCTCACAGCAAAAATTAAAGTGAATTTTATTTTTAATGATTACATAAATATTTTTAAAAATTAAGTTGTTCATCAGGATAAACATAAAAGACAGTCCACCCCTCCAATAATCACCGTCACATTTCAAGCACAAAAAAGAAGCTACTTGAAGCCTCTCCTTGGAGAAACAGGTCACAGTACAAAAGAATTGGAATTAGACTGACAATATAATGGAGCAAAAGATCTAGGAGAAAATTATTTAGAACCTTAGTTCTAATAACTAAGAAGTTATTTAGTTTTTATTTCAGGTTAATATAAGGGTGCATACAATTAGGTTATATTGTTTGTGTTTGTAAGGTAAAGCCTAAAGTCTGAGTTGTAGTTGAGTCCTTCACCCAGGAAATGGGCCATATACCCTACATTTGGAAAAGCAAGCATAAGATGTACTCAATACTGATCTGAACCTCTGAAGTTATAATCAAACTATGAATCAGTTTTGTGGGGAGAAAAAAGATATTTTCAGAAATAGAAGGCCTTCGCAGCCACTGAACATGTAACACAGTAAAAATAGAGAGTAATTGAAAGAGCAATTTGGGAGATTCTGCAACCCAAGAGAAAAATGAAAGAAGAGGAGGGATATTTTCTTTCTTAATTTTTTTCTGTATTTTCAAATAATTCCATAATGAATATGCATAATTTTGGAATTAGAAAAGAATTAATTTTTAAAACATACAAGTCCCTGCTCTGATATACATGCAGCTTATAGCACAGTAAAAAGAGATAGTAATAAAATAATCATAGTAATAAATACAAAATTACAAACAGCATTATTCTAAAGGAAAGTTACATAATTTTATGACAGCATATAAGAAAGGAATCTGACCTAGACTAGGAAGTCAAAGGAGGCTTCCCTGAGGAAGTGCCACTTGAAATGAACTTTGAAACAGGATCAAGAATAGGGAAAGGGGCTCGGCACTTGTAGCTCAGTGGCTAGGGTGGCAACCATGTACACCAGAGCTGGCGGGTTTGAATCCAGCCCAGGCCTGCCAAACAACAATGACAACTACAACCAAAAAATAGCCAGGTGTTGTGGCAGGCATCTGTACTTCCAGTTACTTGGGAGGCTGAGGCAAGAGAATCACTTAAGCCCAAAGAGTTTGAGTCTACCCAGGGCGACAGCTTAAGACTCTGTCTCAAAAAAAAAAAAAAAAAAAAACAGACTAGGGAAATGAGACAGAGTGAGATGAGATTACAGAGGTATCAGGAATCAAACCAATCAGGGTATTCTAGTCCTTAGAAGAGGATTTGGATTTGGACCTTATTCTAGGGGGAATGATAGCCACTGAAGGGTTTTAGGCTGGAAGATCTGAACTGCAAAAATATGACATCATTCCTTATGGGTGAGAAGGTGAGAAGGAAATATAACCAGATGTGGAAAGACCTGTAAAGAAGCTCTCTCAGTGGTTCAGATAAGAGATAGTGGTAGCTTGAACTAAGATGATGGTAATAGTAATGATGGAGAAAAACAGATATATTTGAAAGCTTTAAAAGTCAAAATAGGAGATAGCTGTGCCTTCATAGTTAATGTTGTGGGATAAGAACATATGGCTGCTTGGGTTCAAATACTAAGCAAGTTAATTCACCCCTCTGGGCATTAATTTCCTCTTATATAAGAGAGGGATGATAATAATAGTTTCTACATTCATAGACTTGTTATGAGGAAGGAATGAGTCAAAACTCATATACTCTTTGGACAGAGCTTGACATAAAACAAGTGCTCAATAAATATTAGCTGCTATTAATTATATTGCCATAATCAGTGTTAGATTAGATATGGGAGGTGAGAATGGTGAAAAGGATAACTCTCACTTGCACAACTGAATGCAAGATTATGCTGTTCACTGAGACAAGGAACTCTGGAAGAGGATGAGGTGATAAAATTTGTAAATTTGGTTTGTCAAATGCATGTTTTATGAGATATCCAGGTGGAGGTATTGAGAAGGTGATTGGCTGCATGAGTCTGGAGTTTTAGGAGAGGTCATGAAAGGAGACAGAAGAAGGAAAAGTCTGAACAGTAGAAGAACAAAGCTCAGAGAGGTGTTGGCACAGAGGCCAAGGGAAGAGAGAGTTTCAAGAAGGAATATATAGTCAACAGGTGCAGATGAAGACTGAAAAATGTCCATTGGATTTAGCAGCATGTTGGTGATTGGTGATCTTGGCAAGAACTATTGGTTTGATAGTACCTTAGTGTCCTTGGTAGGTTTGTTTACATGTCAAGTGAATGATAAAATGTAAAAGTCTATTTGTCGCCTATAGCTCAACCGGCTAAGGC